GATTCAATCTTGTTTCTCCGACAACACGACGATCATGAGAAGACAGTCTTTGAGAGATGGTGATGTTATATTCTCTGAAGGTAAGAGATTCGCTTTTGGATTCTTCAGCCTTGGGAACTCGAAGCTCCGGTACGTTGGGATTTGGTATGCTCAAGTCTCCGAGCTTACTGTTGTATGGGTTGCAAACAGAGACCATCCTATTAATGACACATCTGGTCTTATAAAGTTTAGCAGCAGAGGAAATCTTTGTGTCTATGGCTCTGTTAACGGAACAGAGCCTATCTGGTCTACTGATGTTTTAGATACCATCTCAGAACCGGCTTTAGTTGCAAAGCTAACTGATTTAGGAAACCTTGTTCTGATTGATCCTGTCACAGGGAAAAGTTTCTGGGAGAGTTTTAATCATCCTACAAACACTTTACTTCCTTTTATGAAGTTTGGATTCACTCGTCAAGACGGTGTTGATCGGTTTATGACTTCTTGGAGGTCTCCTAACGACCCCGGTTTCGGAAACATTACATACCGGTTAGACCGTAGAGGATTTCCACAGATGATGATGTACAAAGGTCCTACTTTGTGGTGGCGTACTGGTTCATGGACCGGGCAGAGATGGAGCGGTGTGCCTGAAATGACTAACAAGTTTATCTTCAATATCTCCTTTGTGTATAATCCAGATGAAGTATCAATCACTTATGGCGTGTTGAATCCTTTAGTCATAACAAGAATGGTGTTGAACGAGACTGGAACCTTGCAACGGTTCACATGGAACGGGAAGGATAAGAAATGGATTGAGTTCTGGTCAGCTCCTGAAGAGAAGTGTGACAATTACAACCACTGTGGCCTTAACGGTTATTGTGATCTAACTAGTCCAGACAAGTTTGAGTGTTCTTGCCTACCGGGGTACGAGCCTAAGACACCTCAAGCTTGGTCCTTGAGGGATGCTTCGGATGGGTGTAAGAGGAGAGATACAGCTTCTATATGTAATAAGAAAGAAGGGTTTGCGAAGTTGAAGCGAGTGAAGGTTCCCAATACATCAGCTGTGAGTGTTGATATGAACATAACATTGAAGGAATGTGAAAAGAGGTGCTTGAAGAATTGCACTTGTGTCGCTTATGCGAGCGCTTACCACGAGAGTGAAGATGGAGCAAAAGGGTGTTTGACATGGCATGGTGATATGGTGGATACAAGGACATACTTGAGCTCGGGACAAGATTTCTATCTACGCGTAGATAAGGCAGAGTTAGGTACATATACTCTGTATATTGTTCTGTTTCATTTTCTACGCGTAGAAGAGGCTCGTGGTAATTATTTTGATTTTGTTTGCTTGTTTCAGCGCGATGGAATGGAAATGGCTCGTCGCGGAAGAGGAGACTTTTTGTAATTCTCATCAGTTTGATTGTAGTTGTGATGCTACTAATGATCATTTTGTTATTTTTCATAAGAAAACGACGAGGTAAGAAATTCTCTAATGATGATCTTTAAAGCTTATATGTTCGCTTGCTAAGCTCACAGCTAACAAGCTGAAAAAATGCAAAAGTGCAGAGTCTAAAAGGCATAGAAAGCCTCCATCAACCTTCGCACCGAGCTCTTTTGATCTTGAAGATTCATTCATATTAGAAGATCTTGAGGACAAATCAAGAACACGAGAGTTACCTCTCTTTGAGCTTAGCACGATCGCTGCAGCGACTAATAACTTCTCTTTTCAAAACAAGCTTGGAGCAGGTGGTTTCGGATCCGTTTATAAGGTACGGAAGAAGCAAAATTCATATCAATCACATATGCCTAAAATATAGTACTCTCTAAGTTCAATTAAGTAGTACGGAATCTTTTCTTTGTTTCTACTCAGGGCGTGTTACAAAACGGTTTGGAGATAGCGGTGAAGAGGTTATCGACAAACTCGGGACAAGGAATGGAAGAGTTCAAGAACGAGGTCAAGTTGATATCGAAATTGCAGCATCGAAATCTCGTGAGGATCTTAGGATGTTGCGTTGAATTTGAAGAGAAGATGTTGGTATACGAGTATTTACCAAACAAGAGCCTAGACTATTTCATATTCAGTACGTTCCAACATTTTCAACTACAGATTCAGATTCTCCCATTTCAGAAAGCTCAATGACTTGGATTCTTTCGTATTTTATCGTCCTACTAGATGAAGAGCGGAGAGCAGAGTTGGATTGGCCAAAGCGGATGGGAATAATCCGAGGGATTGGTCGAGGAATCTTGTATCTTCATCAAGATTCAAGACTGAGGATCATCCACAGAGACCTCAAGGCTAGCAATGTACTTCTTGACAATGAAATGATCCCCAAGATTGCGGATTTCGGCATGGCTAGAATCTTTGGAGGAAACCAAATCGAAGGAAGCACAAATCGAGTCGTCGGTACATAGTGAGTTAGACTTTGTTAATCCCCCACAAAACTATCCAAATTCTTCCTTTTCTCAATCTTAAGTCTGTTTCAAACTCGTTGTGCAGCGGATATATGTCGCCGGAGTATGCAATGGATGGCCAATTCTCCATAAAATCCGACGTCTACAGCTTCGGAATCTTGATATTAGAGATCATAACCGGAAGTAAAAACAGTACTATCTACAACGAAGCTTCGAATTTAGTCGGACATGTAAGTAAAATGTGCATAACTTTTTAAACATAAACAGAGGAATGAAACAGAGCATAAGTAAATGTTGTTTCTTGCGTATTGTAGATTTGGGATCTATGGAACAAAGGTGAAGCAACAAAGATCATGGACGAGTTAATGGATAAAGAGACTTACGATGAGAGCGAAGTGATGAAGTGCATACACATTGGGTTGCTTTGTGTGCAAGAAAACGCTTCGGATAGACCAGACATGTCTGCTGTTGTGTTCATGTTAGGTCATAACGCCATTGACCTTCCATCTCCCAAGCATCCTGCGTTTACTGTTGGAAGGAAGAGAAACGTTAAAAATGGCGGGAACTCAGGTAATTGGCCCAGTGGAGAAACCGGTAGCTCTTTTAATGATGTTACTCTTACCAACGTTGAAGGTCGTTAAAAATAAAATTCTCAAGTGTTTGTCCTCTTCTTCTTTATAATAGGGATTCAATCGAGACTGTATGTATCCATCAATTTATAGCCATACTTGTTTATGTGTCTATATAGAAAATGACTGTATCTTTACAAATTGTATGCAAAATTATATTTGTAAATTTATAAAAGTACCTAATGAAAAGGAAAGTGTTATCCCGTAGTCTTCGTATTAAACTATTAATAAACAAATTAAATTGAAACTAATTTCTTAATTTAGTGTCACGTAATCAAATAAATCGAAATCAACTAAAAATTCAGTTTTCCTCTAAAAACAAATGCCTGCAATTTTTTTTTTTTTTGTTTGTAACCTTCAAACCGCTCTAGAATCAGACGAATACTACAATATGATATCCCTAGACGGTTCTACTAAAATTACTAAAAAACATCTATTTGCGGTATCATTTTTTTGTGGGGAAATTGCAAAAAATGCCACTTTTTATGTGCACATTTGCAAAAATGCCACTAATTATAGATTTTTAAACTCTATATCTTAAAATTCTAAACACTAAAAAATGTTTTGACCCCTAAACCCCCCCCATAAACATTCATAACTAAACCCTAATAGAACATAATTAACCCAAATATAAGTACTATAAAGAAAAAATAATTTTGAAAAAGTAACACTTTTGTAAAAATTTCAAAAATATGGTATTTTTGTAAAATTGCACTTGAAAAATGTCATTTTTTTAATTTCTCTTCTTTTTTTTTCACCATTGCCTAATTTTTTTTAAGCTGTATCGTGATCTTTATTTTTTTGGAAAATGCTGTATCGTGATCTTGAGTTGTGGTAGCTCGAACAAAAGTAATATCACTGAACACTCACAATTTAAAGAAACATCCTTTATGAGTTTATGTGAGTAATGTAGTAGAGTGTGAATTGCTCTGTTTGGAGTTAAGCCAAAACAAAATTAAATTGGAGTTAAGCTTGGTTCATATGGGCTGATAAGAAGTTAGGCCCAAACACTAGGTCATGATGAGCCTGTCAATACGACGTCGTATAATTGGTAAAATATCTTATCCCTTTGAATCGGTCGTGAGAAAGTGTGAAGTGAAACAACAGTCTCTCTCGTTTCTATAATTGCAATGGCTTCCTTCACAACATCTTCTTCTTCCTCGCTTCTCCTCAAAACCCTACTTCCCGTAAGCCACCTGAATCGTTTCCCTACACTCTCCGGTATCCGCGTCGGCGACACATGGAATCCTCTGCTCCGGAGTATCTCCACCGCCGGGTCTCGGCGTCGTGTGGCGATTGTGAAAGCTGCGACGGTGGATTCGGATTACTCGTCGAAACGGAGTAGTAGCAATGAGCAGAGAGAGACGATTATGCTTCCTGGATGCGATTACAATCATTGGCTTATTGTAATGGAATTCCCCAAGGATCCAGCTCCAACTAGGGACCAGATGATTGATACTTACCTTAACACTCTTGCTACTGTTCTTGGAAGGTTCGTTTTCACTTGTGATTGATTCTCTGCGTTGTTAAATTTGCTTTGAAGTTAACCTAATTTTCAAGATTTTGTTCTTAAAAACTTCGTTCCTTATGAATATATCACTGTAATCTTTAGTCTGGGTTGTTTTCATCTCTTGAGATGTGCAGACATATCATACATTTGATAGTAGCTTGTGAGCAAATTTTATCAGTTAGATTTCTATACTTAAGATTGGAATTGAGAATGCTGTTCGAGGTTCTTGAACTCAGACTCGATATGGGAAAGGAAAAGCCTAATTGGTTCTGTCAACTGCGCTACTCTGTGATTTTAACAAAGTAGAGTAATAAGCTATCTCCAGCTACTTCATACTGGAAGCAAAACATTCTTGTGCTGGATTGAATATCCAAAACATGGAAGCAATATGTTCATATGTGTAACTGTTGTTCTTGGAGCTTCGAAACAGCCTCTCTTTTGCGAGTTTGTGACGGAAAATAGAAGGATGAGTAGAGGCATCTGTTTTGCTTGTTTTCTTTGAGCTATTTATAAAAGTTTAGATTTTTTTCCATGGGGTCTCTTATTAAAATTGATGTGTAAAGGAGTTAGATGTGCACTTGTTTAGAGCATTGCATTCAGTTTCATCCTGACTAGAATTGATAGGATAAGGCAGGGGGTTGAGTTTGTATCACTCATGAAATGACTCAAACTTAGTTTATTTGTTTCATCTAGTTACTTTGGAGAACTTGAATAGTATCTTCAATGTTGTGTTGCTGTTATAACCAATTTCTGGTATGTGCTTAATAAGTGTACTTGTGTCCATTTTCCAGCATGGAAGAGGCAAAGAAGAACATGTATGCATTCAGTACCACCACATACACTGGATTCCAATGCACCATTGACGAAGAAACATCTGAGAAGTTCAAGGGTTAGTGACCAAGAAAAGCTTTAATCCTCTTGCTGAAAGTTTATGCTTTTAATCGTTGAAAACCTTCAAGATACTGACCTCTCAGTCTTTCATTTTTTTCACAGGTTTGCCTGGAGTTCTCTGGGTTTTGCCTGACTCCTACATAGATGTCAAGAACAAGGACTATGGAGGTAACCCATCTAAGCCTGAATACAATGTGTCTAAGATCTATCTTC